CCACCCATGGTGTACGCGTATAAAGCAACCCACACACCTTGCGCCAGTTGGTGGGCCAGAATTGTCAACGCAGAGATGGGCAGGTTCTGGTCGCTGGTGCGGCGCTTCTTGAGGAAATCGTACAGACTACCCATAGGCAAGTACTCTAGTACCATGCACGGCATCATAGTCTTGATCTGTTTAGTAATACCTGTGATAAACACAGAACAAAGCCTATCCATGAGCCATGGACTATGAGCGTATATGATACACATGATACTTCGTTGTAGGACGAGACTGTGAGACTGTGTGGGCAGTGTGTGGTGACTAGGCCAATGCATTGAGGGATATCTACACAACTGCTCCGTAGTGAACTGTGGTGTGGTGTGGTACGTACGAACGGTATGTACTAGGACAGAGAAGTGGGTGCAGAGATGTAGGGGTGCTGAAGTCCTTCCGCTCACCCCATAAACATCGCAAGAGGATATATACCGTACATATCTATAGTGTAGGGTTTTAGGATTGGTTGCCATGCAACAGCAACTGAAAGGTGGACAACACACGCTGATAGGGATGGGCAAAATCAGAGCAATTGCAACCCACAACGCCAGTCGATGAGAGGTTCGCAGACGGAAGACTGATTCAGCTAAAGTGCATGGGCAGTGCTTGACTTTGTCACACTCATCAAAGTTTCGGTTGACTCCTCTGCACTAAAACTTACCCAGGTAATACACAAACTGGCGTGTACTCAAGTGTGCACTTAACTAGGTTTAGTCACCAAACGAGAAAAACTCTGCGCTAAAACTTACAAAGGTAATACACAAACTGGCGTGTACTCAAGTGTGCACTTAACTAGGTTTAGTCACCAAACGAGGAAAACTCTGCGCTAAAACTTACCCAGGTAATACACAAACTGGCGTGTACTCAGGTGTGCACCTAACTAGGTTTAGTCACCAAACGAGACAAACTCTGCACTAAAACTTACCCAGGTAATACACAATATGCGGATGATCCAGCATCTTCATTATTTCCACCTCTCTGGTCAATGCTTCCTCAGCGGCTTCGTCCAGAGTGCGCAATTCCTAAATGTCAGTGGATTTGGGATAAGAGTTGTTACAGTTGGGGCATGGGCAGGTATATGTATTGAGCAGACAATTGAAAACAGAGATGCTTGATAACGGTACGAAGATTACAACTGTGGGTTCCGAATTCGAAAGTTTATATTCATTATTTACCACAGATATGATATGATACCAGCCATATCACAACATACAGGAGTACATCGCAAGCAATCACAACGACATCTGATTTAGTTCACACGCCCATACGAAGTCTTAAGAATCAGGCCATAAAAATTCAAAGTTCAAAAGCTGAAAGCCAGCATTGAAATATCAGAGACCCAATATTATGGGTATCCACAGCCGCATTCGAATCCGAATCGACCTCTATCTCCGAAATGCACTCTACTGGCACACTAAGACCTGGAAGCCATTCATATTCATCAGTGATAATTGTTTGTATATTTGTTTTGGCTTGGTTCCCTGGTGGAGTGGTTCGCTCAGGCCTGAACGATGTTTGTCAGTCAACCGGTTGGTGTGTTTATATAAACAAACACACACGCACACATACA